TAGAACAGAATTCCATGATAATAAAATCAACCTTATAGTCTAATTCACATGCATCATCAACATTAAAATTGGTTTTAGCTGATCATGAAATTTTCTCACGATTCTATTTGGTATGCGATGATATGCTGTAGTTCAAATGGGCTTAAGTCTGAACATAAACGTTGATTACTGAAATAAAAAAACTTTTCAAACTATTCACTTATGCTGTATTTTTGATAGGACAAGCTCTAAAGGCAAGTGTCTAAAGGTGGCTAATACAGCTTGTCCTGTTGTCAGAAAATATATCTGTTGAAGATGCAGCTATCGGCTATCCATTAAAGCAGACCTAAAATCTTAAAATGCAAATAAAACCTTTGGATGCTTAGCTGACGATGTTTCCGGTTTTCTACTTGAGTCTTTATTTATGCGCTCTAAACATATTGATAGGAGAAACGATATGTTTTGGCATCTCATCTCGTTGAAACAGTAAACAGGTTTGAATTCATTGCCGTAGATTCCAATTAATTAGTGATCGAGTGAAATTTTCATCTACCAACTTGACCGTTGAACAAGAATGCCTCTCGAAGAGAAGTTATTTCATGATCTTAGACTAAAGTAACTATATTTTCAGCCAGATATATCACACAACAAGAACGCAGTAGAATTGCAATATGTATTCAAATTATTACCTGCATACCTCACATTTTCGGTTTAACTTTTTCTTATACATATGGTACCTACGTATTGTGTAAATACAAACATAATTTTTAAATGATATTGCATATATAATTCATAATATTTACACTGTATATTTTTGCCTTATTTATACCATAACTTGCAAACAAAAGAAAGTAAATTCAATAAAGAAAGGAAGACGAAATTTGCAGTATAAAATGATATCATTCTATTTCACAGGTTCTCATCAGCTGCAGACTACCTGAAATTACAATGGTTATATAAGTGATAATAACATACTTTAATGTTTGAGTAGTAGTAGAGAAGAGATAAAATTGACGCATCCAAAAAAGAATGAAAGCATTGCAATTTTTAGTTTAAGTTATCATCATCAATTTATACACTTTCAAAGTTGAAAAGAGGGGGGAGGGATAAGACAGAAAACAGAAAAATTGATTAACAGAAACAATGTTAGCTTGTAGGTTCACATGGTAACTCCAAAAAACAAAAGCATTTGCAGTTTATAAGATTGAGATTTGCTCAGTGAGTTGAGATCACTGAATTAGATGACGAATTGATGTAATCAAAATCAAAATTCAGTTACCAAGAGAGTGAGAAGTTAATCACACTCTCTTTCTGTATGCATAAGTCTGGTTTAAATCGTTTGATTGCGATTGCTTCGGCAAATCGTAGTAAATTTGCTGTCCTTTGTCTATTTAATAATTTGAAGGACTTGGAATTCTCTACGAGATATCCGGTATCAACAATATGTCTGGTAATTGCACTCTGAGAATATTTGCTTCCTTTCAGGCATAGGTTTCTTGGAATATGTTCAGAAAACCGGATAGAAGCCCTTCTTTCTGTCCTTCCAATGTACTTGCTCCCGCAAGTGCACGTAAATTCATAAACGCAGTTTGAGGTGACATCAGCAGGGTATTTATCCAGTTTTGAGTGGATAATGGAAGGAGTGGTGTTGTATACTGTTATGAGTTTTGCTACCGGGAAGCTTCTATTTATTGCTCCTTTCAGTCTTCTGTCAATCTTTTGTGAAACCGCATCTCCTTTGAATGGGAGACAAATAAGCACTTTTTTCTTTTCTACAGTTGGATGCTTTTCTTTCTTATCTTTTTCTCTGCTATACTTCTGTATCCATTTTCCCTCAGGCATTTCTCGACGAAATCTAGTTCTTCGACCTTGTTTGGTGAACATAGCTTCCTGGCTCTGTCGTACAAAGTCCTCACTAATTCACGTTTATAGCTTATGGGACAAAAGCCGTTATAGTGAAGATATTGTCCAGTCCAGGTTTCTTTTCTATAGATGGACTTTTCGATCATGCCTTCGTTTGTTCTTTTTACATTTAGATCCAGGAAATTGAACTCATTTTTATGTTCATATACCATGGTGAACTTGATATTTGGATGGATCTCATTTAGGCGATCATATAATGCCGATGCATGATCCATGTCGTTGCAAACAACAAATGTGTCATCAACATATCGGTGATAGTAGGTTGTTCCATTGATAGCAGAACTTAGTTGTGTCTGTTCAAGGTAGCCCATGAAGATGCGTCAATTTTATCTCTTCTCTACTACTACTCAAACATTAAAGTATGTTATTATCATTTATATAACCATTGTAATTTCAGGTAGTCTGCAGCTGATGAGAACCTGTGAAATAGAATGATATCATTTTATACTGCAAATTTCGTCTTCCTTTCTTTATCGAAATTTATCAAGAGAACCAGTTGTATAAAGTAAATTCAGTCAGAATTTTCGCATGCAAATATTCACGGAAAATGATTGTTGATTTGAAATAAATCGAAAAAAGGTAAAGTACTGCAGGTTGAAGACGAAAAGTTTAAATACTGTCAGTATCAGGATCAGAAGCCTTTGGAAATAAAACTGACTGTTTAGCTTGAGATATATGCTACTGACTGACTGACAGAAGCAGTTGGAAACTATTCACACCAGCCGGTGGTGTTCATTCACAAGATTGATGTGACCTACATATTAACCCTCAATCAACTATGTATATCTGCAACCGTTAGCTAAGTATTATTCCAGTTTTCAAGTAGTGGTTTTTGTAGGGATTTTGTTTGTTTGATTGAAAAATTTCATAATGAGCTGACATCGGTTAGAGAACCATTGGAAAACCACCTGAAAGTACTGGACAGCTGTTTCGTCCTAGCTTGAGACTCTTCATAAGTGCTCAACCACTAGGGTTCGAATCCAGGACCTTCTGGTTACAAGCCTAGCGAGCTCGTAGACCATTAAGCCACTGGGATCTGATCCAATGGCCCATGAATTCTAAATTCCGCAAATTCACGACATAGCGCGACCACTAGCCAAGGTCTTCGTCCGGTCCTCACACCCGGCCTGCTGCAGTCTACTGGTTACTGAAAATAAGTAGTAAATGCATAACTGATGAAGATACCAAATAACACTTCCCAGACTGTTTGTTGAAATTCCCATTTTGAAGTTCCCATGACTGATCTAATTGAATCCAAATGCTTGTTCTCAGTTAATGTGGCTAATAGAAAAGAGGCTTCGACGATGTTTTGTGGTCAACACGATGTCATTTCGTTGATGAAGTGTAGTGTATTCTTGAAAGCGAGTTTCCTCTTATTTGATACTCGATAAATGAATGTACCTGCACCTGCTTCGATGTTTGAAAAGGAGAACATTGGTGTCCAATCTCAAATGGGCCATCACTACTCATTGAGTAGTCTGTACATTCAGCTGATGCGCCAGTCGCTACCTACATTAAAAAAATAAGAAAAATAAAAAGGACGTTAAAGTGAAGAAAATTTTCTCTTCGACGAAGTCATCAACCAAGCTCTACATTCGGGTATGTATAGTAAGTACGTGAGAAAGTTCCAGAACTACTTCATCCCACTGGTCAAATCAACAAGATTACAAATAGGGATTAAAAACGTAGTAATAACAAAACAGACAGGAAGATCAGATAAGAAACATATGAGTGCATAAAGGAATTAAAATACCTAAAATCACAGAAATAAGCCTAATAGGATAAACACTGTTGAGAGAATTGACTTTTTTATGATGGCTGTGGTAAAGACAAAAGTTAAACGTATTTCTTTTGAATACATGGCGTTGGTTTAAACTTTTGAATCACTGGTGCCTTAGCTGTATCCAGATGCCGAAGAATTCACATTCATAGACAAGAACCTAAAACCAAAGAAAGCTTCTGAATAAGTCCAGGCAGTCCCCAAAAAGACGCCTCTGCTTAATCTCGAAATTAGAAGTGTCACTGATGAAGAAATTCCCCGTAAATGGCTTTCAAAATCTATTAGTAAAATACACTTTACTGCAGTCTACGGGTAACATTATCTCGCAAAAAACTATTCGGCTAGCATGTGAAAGACAAGTTGTTGCATTGGGCTACTTAAACATACATACACCAGTTCAATTCCTCTTGTGGAGCTGAGTACATTGTTCATACTATTTTTTTTATTCCTTTACGTTCCCAGTAAATCATAGGGCTCCAAGCTAGAGGCCTGAAGTTTCTCTGGCAGTGGTGTCTATCTTCTTTTAGCCTCATGCCCAACCTTCCCTCTTCGCTAGTCCAGTTACTGGCTTGGCGGGGTAAAGAAGTGCGTCGGCTGGGGATCGAACCCTGGACTACATGCGTGGCTGGTGAGCATTCTACTTCTGTGCCACCGACGCACTATATATTTATAATATATATATATGTATAAACTTCAATAAAGAAGATTTGGTGAACTCATAACATTCAGTTTTATTTGAAAAGTCTTTCAAAGTCCTATACAGTATCCGATAAACCTCTCAAAGGCAGTGAGATCTAAGGCATCTGGACACACCTGAGACACCAGTGATCTAAAAGTTCGAAGCAGTGCTACGTATCCAAAAGAAATGCGTTCAACTTTTATCTTTACCATAGACATCATAAAAACAGTCAATTCTCTCAAAAGTGCTTATCCTATTAGGCTTATTTCTGTGATTTTAGGTATTTTAATTCCTTTATGCACTCACATGTTTCTTATCTGATCTTCCAGTCTGTTTTGTTATTACTACGCTTTTAATCCCTAACTGCACCAAAAAAGAACAATTTTCTCAAGAATTATCATCCTTCTAAGTTTCCATCCGATCTACCTGTTTATTTCAATATTAATACAATTTAATCCATATTTGTAATCTTGTTGATTTGACCAGTGGGATGAAGCAGTTCTGGAACTTTCTCACCTACTTATTATATATACCCGAATGTAGAGCTTGGTTGATGACTTCCTCGAAGAGAAACGTTTCTTCTCTGCAACCATCTTTTTAATTTTCTATATGACGTAATATGTGTATTCTGTAAATCCAATGATTTTACTTTATAAAGTTCCACATGATCATTTGACGGATCGATCTGACGGTGTATTGCTTTCCACAATGATCACAAGTAACGGATAAGTGCGACTGAAGAAAGTGCCGATGTTAAATTACAGGTTTCAGCTTCCCTTATACTTAAATCTACACTAAGATCAGCGAATATATATGCCTCATTATTATCATGATGGAGAAAAAACCTTTCAATATTCTTAAAGCTCAAATCTGTCGATGAAAGCCATTGCAATCATGATTTTGTTTTTGTTTTTTCAAAATTTACTTTGTATGCATTTCTAAATAAATAATATTCAGTATTCAATCTCTGTATGCTTTCATTTTATGTAAATTTACATAAATTGAAAGAGCCTAAGTGACTGGAATAAATTCACTTTCATGCTGAACTAATTACTCTGTAGTGGAATATAAACTTATAACAAGTAAGTCAATCCTATTTCTTGTATACTGTTAGTTATCATTATAAAAAAAATCTGACTGAATTTCAGAGTAGGACTTTGCATAAAAGTGCAACAGTTCAGCTTGCCACGGTCCATGAAGCAGATAAAGGAAGACGAAAGAGAGAGATAGAAATTTGACAGAACGATAACAAGCAGAAATGTGAGGGAGAAAGAATAGTAACACGGAAGAGCATTAAGTTTTGACGGGCATGGTAGACCACAAAGAGTGAATTCATTAGCGTCACTGAGAACTATCTTGAGTTGCATCACAAATAGTATCCAGCTATTGGTTCTTAGAATCATGAGGACCCCAACTAAGCAGTCCGCACCTCCCTACGTGGCTAGCTCAAAGTAACTGTCAAAGATTTCATGGACTGATCCAAAATTTTGGCTTGACCATCAATAACTGTTTTCCAGCCTTCTCAAATGTTGCCCGTCGAGGAAGGCAATGACTAGACATGCTCAATACACGTCCTAGGCGTCTTAGTCGATTCATCTTCACCACACCACCTGACTTGCTCTCATTATTTACTACTCAACGCCTAACGTCAATGTTACACTCACTATCTAAGACAGGAGGTAGAACAGAGACAGCTAACCGTTTCACATCTTCCATCTCACATCCATAAAAGAGGATGGAGCTAAGTGTAATGTAGTACAAATGTCCTTTGATCGGTGGCCAGATATTATGTCTACGCTGCAGATGATGTAAGCTGGCAAATCCCACATAAGACTTTTATATCCATGCTCAGATTTCATCAGCATAAAAAGGTGAATAACTGCTAAATCTTGGCACTTTTTTAGTTATGCACTGGTATGGACCAATTTTACACTAGTTGAAGAAAATGGAAACATGGTAAAGTTGTGCATATTTTTCTTAGAATATATGCTTCATTACTTACATTAGATTGATGAATATCATTTGTTAATGGTCGACTAAGACGGAGAACTAGTCACAATGGCTGGTACTTATCAGTAAGTGAAGCTTATGTGCAACTGAGGGCAGGTAAATAATTCTTCAAACCTTCAAATTTGTATCATTTAGTCTCAAAGCCAGACTTTATCACTGATCTTCACAGGTCACCATTATTGCATTGTATAACTTGATTATTCATGTGAGTCGGTTATGGTAGCAGCCAGTTTGAACACTTTACTGATAAGTCCCACTTAGTACTTATTGGCTGGATAGCTATAATGATCACCATCCATAGCTGTTATCGTATGAATTGGTGTATATTTGTATAACATGTCTGAAATTAGTTCAGTAAGTATACGTGGAAATAAAAACAGCAAGACTGTACATTAGTCACTAACCAGATAACATTTTTATTTGGTTGTAATTATTTCTTATTTTTCTCTAAGTGTTAAAAAATCAAGTTGAATAAGGAACTAGCATTTAAAAAAGGAAAGGACAAATGTTAGAAAAGAATGACATAGATCCTCTGATTGGACAATAATAACTAGTGTGATGAGTCTAGTCCTATCTTTGGTGCAGACTGAATTCCATCAGTCAGGTTTGTAATGTGGCCACCATTCCAGGTAGCTCGCCATCACGGTGCACATCGATATGATGACATTAGATGGTTGGAGGCTATTGGCACGAAGCCTTGCTTGACCTAGGTTTCGTATTAGTTGACACTCACCACTCAGCAAGGCGTATCTACAACACTGAAGGAACTCATGTCCCTTCTGAGATTCAGACCGGCGTCATCCAGTGTCGCCTGCATTCAGAGACGTTATCACTGAGCTATCCGGGCTCACAAATGACCTCCTGTATGAGTAAATTGGATACTTTGATTGGACACTAGTAACTAGCGCAGAATGAATTCTATTAGTCAGGTTTGCACCAAAGAAAGGACTAGATACATTACACTAGTTACCAGTATCCAATAAAAGTATCCAAAACACTCCTACAGGAGGTCAATCGCGAGTCCGAATAGCTTAGTGGTATCGTCTCTGAGTGCTGCACTGGGTGACGTGGACTCGAATCTTAGAAGGGACATGAGTTCCTACGAGGTTGCAGATATGCCTTTCTGAGTGATGAGTGTCAACTAGCACGAAACCTAGATCGAAGGCCTCCTACCGATTGCCTCCAACCATCTAATGTCATAACATAGATCAATTTTATATCTCTTCAGCTGTAGCATTTAATGTACCGAGTTATAAAATAGTTTACCCCACTTTTGTAGATTGAGAGGAATCAAACTTCCTCCGTTAGTGACAGAATGATTCCTACTGATAAACAAAAGTTGTGTCAAAATTGTATCATACCTCGTCACATGACATGCTATAGGTTGTACGCAGCTGGAGGAAAACCACTAAGTAAAACTGTTCCATGTTATTCTGTTCCAATGTTTTTTATTTCTCCTGTCAGATTTATAAGTGAGAAATTTGTGTATAATCTACTACTGTCAACTTATTTCAGATAACTTTTATACGCATAAGTACAAAGATATTCTGAACCTCGGCTGATATCTTTCTGCTTAAGTTAGCGTACGTGACTGTCAGTTCCAACCCGTTTTTAAATTTCACACGAAATGACTATGCCTGGTAGTTTCTAAATCAACAACCTTTTATCATGGTATCCAAAAATATTCAATAGTTTTAAGTCTTACATCAATCATCAAATACCTTCTCTAACTGTTGTGTGGTTAAAGATACAATTATTATATGAATAGAACTTCAAAACTGTATTGCAATCTAATTCCATATTAATTCGCTTGTTAGGTGTATCACATCACTAGACAATACTATTTACTCGGAAAACATTTTGGATATAATGTATTATTAATAAACATATTAAATGTAACCCTCCTTCATTTGTCTGAATATCCTGAACAGGTATTGAATCATTTAGAGTGCATTAATGATCTGTCGATTTATTTAAAAAGCCTCTGTGACGAATCTAACCTTAGATTTTACTAGGTTAGAGTTTGCGAAGTCGTCAGATGTTATAGCTGTTCTTTTTCCTGAGTTACTTTTATCTTAATAGTACTTACCAAACTAGATTTTGCTAAATTTCGGTGCTTTAGGGTCTGCAAGAGTATAGAAATCAAAATGATTTATAACAGGTTTTGTCATGAATTGACATCAGTTAGAGAACCATTGGAAAACCTGGGGGTACTGGACAGCTGCCACGCCCTGCCTTGGGACTTTTCAGCAGTACGTACTGGTGTTCGGACCCATCACCTTCCGGTCAGGAGAACAGCTCGTAGACTATTCAGCCGCTCAGACCTGGACAAGTGGTCAGTGCATGAATTCAAGCTTCTGCCAATTCGTGATATATGTAGTGCGACTGCCAGCTGATATCATAGGCGAGTGACTTATCTCTTACCTAACTTGGTGAACCTCACTAGTTACGACTTCTTAGTAGAACTCCAGGTAGCTTCCTGTATACAGTTAGTCACTAGTGAGCATCAGATTAATTACCAACTGTCGGTTTACAGACATTTGATTCAGTTTATGTAATATGATGAAATGACTCTGAGGTTCAGTACAACATAGTTTAATGTGGTAGACTGAAGTCACTCAGACACTACCAGTGTACATGTAACAAAATCTACACCAAGTAACATTAAACAAAGTTGAGTTTGCATATTAAAATGTGTATATTATCTGTAATATAAAAATAAAAGTATCAACTATGTTGAAAAAATATGCATCATAGATAGACATATCTACATAAATCACCTTTATATCTGTTAAACATAAATAATGTAAGTATTTAAGACAAGGAAAGTAATTCAATAATGAATGAGCTTAAAGTTGTCAGTTACTGTTAATATTTGAAGTTATATGATGTGGTTGTATTTCATTCAGTCCAAGGACTAACTGTCAACAACCCTGCTCTTCACAAGATCTTAGTGTACTATTAAAGAAGAACTCCACAGTGGGACAGACCAACTGTCTATTGTTTCTCGATTTCTAATGATACTGTAGTCAGAATAACTTTGTAACTAGATCTATGCCTAAACGATACAACTAGTTATCAATACTTACAAATGAGGATTATATAGAATGTAAGCATGGAAATAGGAAAATACTAAATTATGTAACTCCAAGTTATTTTCACCTACTTGACCTAGCACAGTATCGGATGGCGTTTCAAGAATGATTCAAATTGGAACGCAACAAAAATGGCTGACACATCCACACCAGTCACTCGGAGAGTTATACTACCAATGAAAAAATAGGGACAAGAGACTAAAATACCGATGAAACAAATTTTCCTATAGCTACGAAAGAAAGTCGTTATCAGAAAATCATCCAGTAAACAACAATACTATATGTGAATATCTGCTACTAGAAATAAGTAAACCACCTAAGAATATTTAACGCTACCTTAACTACTTCTGAAATTCAATGAATTTGAACAGTTCATTCTATTTGCTTTACCTTAAGTAACTACAATCTAAGTCACAATGTTTATTCGGTACATCACTGAGTGGTAGAGTATATAGGCGGCCTGATTGAATCACTAGGCTAACGACACTGCTTTCCGCCAAAATACTTATCTTCATTCGATTTTTCACTGTTTTAATCATGCAGTTACATCTAATGACCTTTAAATTAACTTGCGCGCTGATTTAGCTTGCTTCTAAATAAATTCTGTGGAATTCTTCAACGAAATGAAGATATGCTGTAGATTATTACTTAACATGTTAATTGTGTATGAAGAAAGTAGTATTTTGGAATTAAATACGCTGAAAATTTTTGTACCATATGTTCTCACATTGTTTGAAATAAAGCTTCATTATTATTTGTCAATAGTTGATTTGTAAGAATTAGATTTGTTTTTACGAGTTGACCAGGGATTGATATCAGTTAGAGAGCCATTGACAACCATGGAGTAATGGACAGCTGTTTCATCCTAATTTGGGAATCATCGGTAGTACGCACCCACTGAGGTTTGAACCCAGGGCCTTCCAGTGGCAAGGCAAGCCCGTATTCCATTCAGTCAGTGGGATCCCATTCAATAGCTCATGAATTATAACTTCTACCAATTCGTGATTTTGGCGTAACCACCAACTAATGTCATCGGTGGAAAATCCATCCTCACTCCCAACTGGATAACCTCACTGGTCACGACTTCGCAGTAGAACTCCAGGAAACTCCGTGATTAAGTCACATCGCTTAAATGTGAACACGATGGTCGGTAGTTGTATAAAGCATGACATTTTATTTCTTGAAATAAAACCTACTCATAATGAAGTATAATCTTTGGAATCTTATGTGGAAATAGCCTCTAATATCTATGGTGATAACTGAATGATCTGTGTTTTATGAATGGTTGTACACTGACTGCCGAAATACACGTCACCCTAATAAAACATAGGAGAGCGACCTTTGCAGAGTTAAATATTTTAGATCTCAAAAAATTCAAGTGTAAGTTTATACCTAAAATCCTTTTTAATATAACCCGACTCAATAAAGAAACACAGTGTGGTGGTGTGTTACAGACAATGGGCTCCAACGGAATGTTATTCTCACAGTAAAAATCATTGTATTTGTTGGTGTTAACGTCTGAATACTATTCTCACAGTTCGAAACTCCATTAGCATTATGTGTATTTGAATATTCTATTTCATGTTGTTTAATGTAAGCTAAAATCACACGCTCAATGATTGGTTAAGGAATATAAACTGTATAGATATAAACAGCTGTCTGATCACTTGAAAATATACCTTGACTTCCGTGTCTTGCCTTCTGCTGTTACAACATGACGTCTTTTTTATATGACTACTGACGATGGAGACTGGATAACCAAAGAATTCCAATTCCTCAGTCAATAGGTCTGTCTGTGAATATACAGTAAATTATTCTTGAGACAGAAAATGCTGTAGGATTCTTTTTTCTGCTTAAAAAAACTGTAAAAAAAAAACAATATGGCGGTTTTCATTCTTAACATTTTCGATAATCAATATAAACACTAATTTTGCACACACATTCTCTTTCTTCTTTTCATCAGAAATTAATGTTGTCTTTCATTCCATTGACATTTCATATATTGAAAAATCTGAATATAGTCAAAGGTGGTGGTCATTTATCAGTTAGTGTTAATCTACAAAACTGTGATTACAGTGTACGAACTCAAGCTGATGGTACACTGTGTGATCAAGTGGAACATTCATTCTGTTCACCAGTATTCAAAATATGCCTTCATACAGATGTTCAAAGGTTAGTTAGTTATATCTTGAATTGATTAAAAATGCCCATTACAATTTTTTTTAAAAGAATGTTTAGTGAACAAAGAATATTCTTTTCGATAACTCTTTCATCAGATTCTACAGATATATATATATATAAATTATAGTGAATGAATTAGTATTGTTACCAACATTAATGTTGTTTAAATAACATCGAATTAATAATAATAATAATATCAATGAATTACAGTTCGATAGTATCAACATAACAATACACACTGATTTTCTATAGTTTGGTTTGTAAGGATTTGTTATGTTTTACGAGTTGATCACGGACTGATATCAGTTAGAGAACCATTGAAAACCAGGGAGTACTGGTCCGTGATCAACTCGTAATACACACTGAATATCAGAAAAATTAGGAAAGATAATAATGCAATTTCATGAATTTATAGTCTCCACTGTAGGCCGACCAGGGCAGTAGTAGTGACCAGCTGGACTTGCTTCTTTCTTGGGCACACAAAGCACTAGTTGTTTCACGAGAATCGCGATAACCTCAGCGGTTTGGAGTCTTCGGTACCTGGATTTTTTCGTCAATTTATTTAGTACCCGGCAGATGGTAGAGAAAGATTCTTCAATGCTGGCTTTGTGACCGGTTTGGATGAGGTGGTAAAATATCGAACTGTTGATGGAACTTAAAAAAATCTTTCATCAAATATAACTGTTTAACCCTTCCACATTTCGTGATAAGTGTACCTGTGATGGAAACTAGTAATAAAGCTAACTTGATACAAAAAATATCTACTCATACTTTTTTCGTTGTCGCATAGAATAACTAAAACTCATGGATATTTCATGGCTTCATTCATATTTTTGTTCAGATACAATTGTTTTAAGCAACTGTCATATCACGATAAGCTGAAAAGAGACTGATTCATTAGGTATTTCATTAACGCTTTGCATAGCCTCGAGTCCAGCGTATTTAGTACAACACAGATTAAAAGCCAGGCATATTTGTTTTAATAAAAATTTAACCGTATCAAATACAACTGAAAGATAACTGGTCCCCATAGTTCAACATTTGAACAGGAAGCAAACTGATCTTGAATTTTTAAGTTTGTCCATACAACAATAGCAGACTTTGTAAATTACTTAGCTTCAAATACTGCAGTCTTTGTTCGTATAAGTTAAAAACCCATAAAACCCAAATCTGATTCACTGTTCATCAGCGATTTGCATAGGGTTTAGTTTCAGATGTTTTAGTAAGAGATAAGAATAGAACTTGGGCCCTGTGGTAGAGTATAAATTCATCAAAGGGTAAGTTTATTTGAAAACACACAGTGATGTATTATTATTTAGTGATGATGTTTTGAGCACAGTTTATTGCTCATTGTGTTCGAAATGTCATCAGCAAGCAACACAGCAGCATTGTAAGCCTTCATTAAGGAAATCTACCCTATGATGGTTTTAGTAAGAGTTTTATCAAGTCGGGTGTGTGAAACACTACTCATCGATGACATTGAATGAAGGTGGAATTATACGGTGAATGGAAGGAAGTTGTAAATTCCTATAAGACAAATAACTCTGCATAGCCACCTTAATGTCATTCAGTAAGTAGTAGGGAATAGTAGTAATTAATTCAAGATAAGTTCATAATTTAGCCGACAGTAAGTATTGATACACTGAACAGAAATAAACCGAATATTACTTTTTATATGAACCAGAAGGTCGTAGCAATCACTATACACCTTTCTATATTCTTTGATGTTCACTTTACTTTTAAGGTTGAAGCTGAAATCTTTCAAAACTCTTTGGTAACTTAGGATGTCATATAATCTGCTCTTAATGATTTACTGTTGTCAAAATCATCATATCACCACAAATACTGATTACTATATGAATATAAAGCGTCGGTGATCCGGCGGTAGAACGCTCACCAACCACGCCTCACATGGTCCGAGGTTTGGATCTTGGCCGACTCACTCCTAAACCTCTCTAAGCCGGTAATAAGTCCGGTAAAGACGGAAGGTTGGGCGTCATATTAGAAATACCACCCCGTAGAAATAAACCGACTGCTACTAAAACTTCAAAGCTTTAGCTTGAGACCCTATGTTCCACTCCGAACGTAAGGGAATAAAATTAAAATAAAATGTGAATATAAAAGGAGCTGAATAACTTTCATAATGTATGCAAAATTATTGTAAGTATAATACTGAATTAAAGTTAAGTGAGCCCTTTATATAAACAGAAATCCGGGGTGTTTATCCCACCAATAATCCAATAGAAAACACGCTGATTTTGTGATTCATAGAGGAGTTTGAAATGTGAATAAACAGTGCTGAAAGTTATTCAAAGTGTACTATTAAAATTACTTAACGAGACTTGCATGTTGGATGAATAGTGTATATAAACACGTAGAAGTGGCGGCCTGCTTAAAACTTGGGTTACCAAAAACCCCCATCACTATATTGCATCTTTTTTCGTGTGTTCTGATTGTCTTAGTGTATAAAAATATGACCTCCAATGGTATTATCCACTCTCGCTAATATTTAAAATATTTTCAGACTGCTGATACGCAAGTTCCAACTAAACTTGAGAAAAAGTATAGTTGTGGGTGGCAACGTATTCCAATTCATGAGATAACTGCTTTCGACATTTAAAGTACAAACATCTCCTCTCCAAGATGCAAAACTGACTACCTGTAGTCTTATATCATTGAGTTATGCCTTTGGGTTGCAAAATGTAGTCGTGGAATTTTTCTAATTGGCTTTCAACTAAATGTAGTGTATTTCTCGAAGGAGACAAAGAAGAAATATCATAAGGGATTGGTTTGTGCTTCAGGCCAGACAGTATTGTATCACGCGATCTACTATCAATGACTGTTTCACTTAAAGATAATGGACGAAAAGAATATATTATGGAATAAATTCGGCTGAGAATTCTATGCATTTTATAAACATTGCCTAGAATTAAGCTATTATTATTACTAATAGTATAGGATTTCTAAAGTCTCACCTAACTGGTGTATTAGTCAAAGATTATATCACATTCATTGCCTATCTCCGTGACTGTTGATGACTTCAATCGTCTTCAAAACTCTTCAGATAATCTATTTCCTGTGGCAGACAATTACCCAATATTCAGTAACACTTCTTGTCTAAACAAAGCATAAATTCGATGTACATGACAGTGAGAGTAATCTGAATCAGAAAACTTCACAAGATCTTTTTGTTCTTAGATGGTTGGAGGCAATCGGCAGGAAGCCTTGGACCTAGGTTTCGTGCTAGTTGCTGATGAGTGCCAACTAGCACGAAACCTAGGTCCAAGGCTTCCTGCCGATTGCCTCTAACCATCTAACACCAACAATTCACAGTGCACCGTAATGGCGCGTCACCTAGCATGGTGGCCACATTGCAAGCTTGACTGATAGAATTCAGTCTGCAGCGATGATAGGACTAGACACATTACACTAGTTACTGACTAGTGTGCAATCAAAAATATCTTTTTGTTCTACAGTTTAGGCTAAAACAAGAAGGACAACTCTGATCAGCGTTTTGTTGTCATCACACTCAAAAGGTGAGACTTCACTTGCTTTATAATTCATCAAGATTCCTTTATTCTTTTAGTAATTCCAACATTTTACACATAAATTTTTGAAATAAAATGAATTTATATTCACTAAAATTTCCTTTTTAAACTTATAAATATATATAGTGTATGCTCTCCACCACTTCCAAGAAACTTTGAACTTATAGAATCACACCAGGGAAATTCTGTGATTTGGAAAAATGCCAGTAACACCGTCACTTTGTCCACCGTAATTGAGGATGTAAGTATATTTGATTTAATCAATATTACATATTTAATTCAGCTTTAAATTGTCATAGATAATTAAAAAGACGAGGCCTTGAACTTGGTCTTCATACTTACTGGATTTCATTAGCTAGCTATGTCTGTAATCATTAGAAAACTGATGTCTTTTGTAGAGATGAAAACATGACTTACTCAATACTGACGTTAGTGAATTCGCCACTAGGTTATTCTCATTATAAACTAGATCAAATAACCAATCAACCATGAGTCATAGCATAGAATAAGTTCTGAGTCCTTCCCAATTATCGCCACAGTACGCTTCAGATTCTTTATCATATGAAAACTCAAGCATACCTCAGTCAACATAACTGTCAGAGACATTATAAATGACTACTTCTAAATACATAAATGGAGTTGTACATAGCGAATGTCTTTATGTTGCTAAAATCCCTACCGTAACCTGGATTAAGTGGCCTGCTTAAAACCTGGGCTACCGAAAAACCTCCATTAATATATTGCATATAATTCCTCTTATTCGCCTTGTTTAAATCTAGTAAAATATGACCTCAAACAATATTGTTTATATAATAATAATATAATAATAATAATTTTTGCTTTATTCCAAAAACAGTATTAATGATACAGCAAGGAATTTTCAGCATTCAGTACAGTATTGCATCTAATTTACTCAAAAACGACAACAACAAACAAAAAAAAATAGATAAACGGAAAAATTAATACATAATAATGATAACAAAACGTTTTTATAGGAGCTATGTAGCAGTTACAGTATAGGATAAGGAGAAAAATATAAAATTATAGTAATAATAGTAATAACAACTAAAATAAAAATAGCAAAGTTATAATTAAACGATAGAAAGGGTGACACCATAGAATTACAGAAAGATGAACAATGAAAGGGTCGATTCACTATGCTAATTACATAGTAACTTATATGTTTCACGTCTAACAGTGTCTTCATCACATAAAATACGGGCTAAGTACGGTATTGTAGAATTTTTGTACTTAGTGGTACGAGCATATAATTTCTTATATTGACTTCTCGTTCTACCTGATGAGATACAAGGGGATAATTGTGAATAAAGAGGGTGCAGAGGGTCTGACAGTACGGCCTTTGCCCAATTTTTACAGGAATTTACGTGTCTCTCGACTATGGTATTGGCGAGATCACGCAGTGGCAAACCACAAGCCCTACTCACAGCATTTAATACCCTTCGTAATACGGCATAGTCTTTTTTAAGAAGCCCAGGAAAGATTAATGGAGAACAATAAAGTAAAATGGGTAAAATACAGGAGTTTAAAAATCGCAGAACTAAAGGTTGGCTGATACCTTGTTGCCTTAACTTTTTAATGTAGAAGGTAAGACGAAACATTTTCTTAGAGACCAATAAAATGTGAGATGACCATGAAAGGTCCGAGGAAAGAACTAATCCAAGGTATTTAATGCTTGATTTGGTTTCAATTTCTGTACCATCTATGCTACAGGCATCATGGGAACTAACTAGTTCATGTATGTCACGTCGATGGTTGAAGGTAAAGTTAACTGCCTGACATTTGGAAGGATTTAACATAAGACCATTTGACTTAGACCACATGCTGATGTCCAACAAAAAGCTATTAAGTTTGGAGCAGTCAGACTCAGAAGTGATAGGCAGTGATACAGTCAGATCATCAGCATATTTGACAAAATTGGTTTCGTTTAAATGTGGCAGGTCATGTAAGAAGAAAGAAAAAAGAAAGGGAGAGAGGACGGCACCTTGAGGAACACCGGCTTTTGTAAGCAAAGCAGAAGAAGATTTGCCATTATATGCAGTATACTGCATTCTATCAGAAAAATAAGAATGCAACCAACTCTTAGCCCAGGATGCTGTGTGCGTCAAGGAGAGCTTATTTAATAAAAGGCCCCTAGGTACAGAGTCAAACGCAGATGTGTAGTCTAGGAAAGCACCACGAACATATTTGGCACCTTTGTCTAAACAAGAAACAACATTATGATACAAGACAACCGCAGCATCCAAGGTACTTCTACCATGTTTATATGCAAATTGCTTAGGGTCATTAAAAGCTTTCAATGAAGGTTCAAGACGAAGTAAAAGTAGTTTTTCCATCAATTTTAAAAAAGGAGAAGTAATTGCAATAGGCCTAAATTTACTATCGGTACCAGAAGATTGTTTTGGTATAGGGACAATTTTAATGTTTTTCCATGCAGAAGGTAGAACATTACTGGAAAAGGAAGCATTAAATATATTAGTAAGAGGGTAACACAAAATATCAGCACAGTTCCTGAGGACAATGGCAGGTACGCCATCAGGACCAAGGCTTTGGGAAGGCTTAAGAGAACGGAGACATTTAAGCACATCAAGGGTATTAAAACCATTAAAATTATTGTCTATGTGATTTGTATCATTAGGAAGGATATCGTCAGAGGAGCGTATGAAAGACTTATTAAGATTATTAACATTAAGAGATTGTACAGAATTACACCGCTTACCGCTAGTTATTTCTTTAAAAAGTTTCCATAAACTAGAAGGGGTTTTACATGACAAAAATCTTTGGTTGTATAAAACATTTAGTCTGTGCATTTCGAGTTTTATCAGAGGATTTAGCTTTTTTACACCTGACTTATCATTTGTTTTGAACAACAGTTCTTTATCTCTACGGAACTTTTTGAGATATGGAGAAGAGAAACGGTCAAAACAAGTGAATAATGTTTCTTTAGGACAACATATTTCCAAACAGTATTTAAGATAATCTGTGGTGTTTGTGATTGTGTCATTTAATGTTTGTTCTGTAAATAGGTCCCAGTTAGTATCTATCAACATGCATCTGAGTTTGCTTAGATTATCTTGTGAGTAGCATCTCCGTTGAAATTTACTGTAGAGGTGAGAGAAGACACGTTTGTGTGATTTGGAATATATTTTAGGCAGTACACGTATGATGCAGTGGTCAGAGTTCAATACAGGAGCACGTTTGCGAGCTTCATATATACCAACATCATTGATGAATACTAGATCTAGTGTTTTTTCGAGACGGGTAGCAAAGTTAACAATATTGTCATGGCCAAGTGATATAAGGAAGGAGTGATCACAAGAGTTAAAATCGCCAGTCACTATTGATAAAGAGTTCTCGAAACAAGCTGCAGCAAAAGCGGTGAATTCATCTGCGAACATAGATAAATCCGATATGGTACAGCCAGGAGAGACTTAAACATTAGAAATATAAATGAATTTGTATTTTGACAAGTGTCTCGGGCGACATCTGACAGTGATGCAATCAATGTAGTCATTCGAGAATTTGAAACAAACATTGTTAGAAATAGACCATTTTGAGTGAATAAATGTAGCTACTCCTCCGCCGCATTTTTTCTTGGAACAAACACGGTCTTGTCGGAATACATTAAAATCATTTAAAGATACTATATTGTCATCATATGAGTCATGAAGCCAGGTTTCTTGTAGAGTTACAATACCAGTATTATGATAAGTTTCGGACAACAACAGGGACTGAAAATCCAGAATTTTGTTAGGCAGTGACCGACAGTTCGTACTAACGATAACCGGAACAGTAGTTTGATGTATGGGTGTAGATTTTAAAGCACGTTGCCAACCACCATGGTGCTTTTTCTTGAGTTTATTGCAAATATGAAAGTTTTTAGGTTTTAAGCATTTTATATAATCCCGAGAGTGAATGATACGATTAGAATGCATATAAATACTCTGGAGAGTATTTAAAATTTTCACAATCTACAGTTTCGCAAGTTTCTACTAAACATGAGAAAAGCATAATCATCGATTGTAGATTATCCTAGTACACGAGATGACTGTTCTTGAGTGGCGTTCTTGGCACACAGAATATACTCCTGAACTTTTTATAATTGGCATTCAACCAAATGTCGCGTATTTCTCAAAGGAGAAAAAGAAGAGATATCATAATAGATTGATTTGCTCTTCAGGTCAGATAGAACTATGTCACACGATCTACTGCCAATTAATCATTTATTTGAAGATCCTGGAAGAAGCAAAATTATCATGCAACAAACTTCACTAAAAATTCTATATATTTTATAAACATTGTTCAGAATAAAGCTATAGTTATTATTAGCCTGCAAAGCCTGGTAGTGACATTCCGAATTATGATACCTTGTAGATGTTTTTTTAACTTGTAAGCAAGCATTATTTATCTAGAGAATTTAGGTAGATAGTTTAGATAAACTCCAAGATGTGGGATATTTTGGTTGACAACTTTTAATATAAAGTTATGCTATAATAAGTGAGAGTGATTTGTTTTGAAAATGACCTATTTTTCTTTGCAATATACCCATTAACTTCTCATACATCATAATTATAAATGACGAATGCATTCAGAAAGCGCTATTGAAATCACCAAGTTCTAATGTGTGGCGTACTGATGAGTGCTACTTAGCTTGAAGACTAGTTTCATCAACTCCTCCAGTAACTGAATATTATGTTAAAGAGTATTGCAATGCACAGTGTCGTATCACTTAGCTCATTGAGCAGAAAGTGTATCCCACAGAAATACTTCAAATGACAAAATGCTGACTAGAAGACAACACAGGTTACCATCTGCTTACAGTCTATCGCATCCAATTAAATAATTAGGTTTCCAAGAGTCAGTGGGATCTGATTTTCAACAGGTTTTAGACATTTCTAAACAACTGTCTTCGCTGGCTCCATAGTGAAGGTCAAATGGCTGGGCGGAAAGAATCAGCAAAAAAACCAACCAAGAGCCGATCGCTTAACAAATATGTAGGAGAAAATGGAGATGGATTGGGTATATTTGAGGCGGCCGTCGCGCACAATGCAGGCCATTGCTCGAGTGGAATCTCAATGGGAAGGGAAGAGTGGGTTGTCGGTGCAAGGGTGACATGCAGGAGATCATTTGGGGAGGAGGAGATGTGAGATGATAGGTAATCGTTGACGCAGCTGAAGGGGACAGAAGAGAATGCAACAAAGTGGAGATGTTTTGTTGAAGTCC